TTTAATTTTTAGAAAATGATAACAAATTGGGCAGAGAAATTTATTGCTTTATTTGCATCAATTGTAGATAGCGAAATGAAATATCCAAAGTTTCACAATTGATGTTATCATATTATCAATACTATACGGGAATATGATGCAATAAATAGTTTTATAACAGAGACTTATGAACTGCTACATAAATTTTGTGTCAAGATCCCATATAGAATGAGCAATCATAAAAATGCAACTTTACAAATAATTAATACAGTAATATATTTATTTTTATAATATTACACTGATAACTTTTTAAAACTATATTTATTATTCATTTTAATTAAATATTATATATTTATTAGATGCGACGTGATAGCATCCTCAATTATCTTTGTAGAATTATATCATTACCTATTAGTAAACATGATAAACATAGAATTTCAACATTAGGCGGTATCAAAGGCAGCTTTACATTAATTACCTTTAATGAGTTTATTAATTCATATAAAGCAATATATAATAATTTAGCATCAGAAGCTAAAGAAGCATTTAATGTGTTAATTGACTTATTAAATGAATATTTTAATCTTGTTGAAAATATTACTGATGAAGATGTTGAAGCAACTCTTATTAAATGGTATACAAATGCAATGATTAGAAGAACTGATATTATACGAGCTAAAAGCAATCATTATGGTACACCAGCTTTTAGTAATATTGCAGTCAATATGAATGAAGCTGAAATTAAAGATTATAATACAATTAATGGTGCATACTTTGCTAAGGTAAATCAAAATTATTTATTTTTTTTAATTATTTATACATTAAAAATTACTAATATTATGATTTTTTTTACAATAAAAAAAAAGATTTTAATGTTATTTAGTTTGAAAATTCCTGGTCGTAAGGAACAATATTTAGCACTAGTTCGATGGTACAACTTTAAATATAATAATGCAGATAGATTAACCAAATATGATTGTTCGCTTATGAAAATGATTTTTATGTTTACCATTATAGAAGTTGATTCCATTATTGAGCCAGTTCATATTGTATCATGATTTGGAAAATCTAATGAATATTTTATAAATGTATTTGTTTTTTAATTATTAGTTATAGAGGATTATAATATTACTAGATGCGATTGGTACATTATTATTTAAAAAAAGATAAAGAAACTGTAAAAAATAATAAATAGTATTAGTAGTATTAATTAATAAATATATTAAATAAATTACAAGACATTGAACAATATTTGGATAATTCAATGCGTTGTTTTATACAATAAACATTGCATTGAATATTAAAAAATTTCAGTGGATTGTTTAATGTAATTAACAATCCGCTGAATTTTTTGTGCGCTATTTAGCATCTAAATGGCAATGATCATTACAATGTTTATTATACTGAATTTTACAGTGATTTTCAGCACATTAAATCATGTTCTTCCAATTTCCCGATGTAAGCTTTTTATATATGCTAATTTTGTAATTAATAATAATAAATTCAAAACAAAATGCTAAAAATTTACCTTGTTTATTTGGTCCTTTTGCCAATAGGTATCCAGAAAGTCAGTTAATACAATGTGAAACTAAAGAGGATCAAAGATGGTGACATGTATCAGCTGATGTTGTAATAAAAAGAATAACAGAAGCAGCTAAGTATTTTTTTGAGTTATCTTTATTACTTGATTCTTTAAAAAATTATTTTTTATGTGAAAGACATTACAATCAAGTTGTCGCTAAAAATTCTTTTATTAGACAATTAAAAGCAAATGATTCAATTTTTTTAGGTTCAGAAGAATTGCAAGCTCATGATTTATTTGAAATAAAATTTTCTGATTTTGAAATTCAAGTTTCTTTACCAGATCCAATGCATGAAAGTCTTTTAAAAAGAATTGATGAATTAGAAAATCTTAATAGGCAATTATTATTTGAAAATGAAGAATTAAAAAAGAGGTTAAATGAAAGATTTAA